GACTTTGTTTTGGCCGGAAAAGGGGGCGTTTGTACTATGATTGGACAACAATGTTGTACCTATATTCCAATGAATACTGATCCTGATGGCTCAATTGCTAGGGCTCTGGCTGGCTTAAAAGTCTTGTCAGAAGAGATGGCTGAACACTCTGGTATTGCTAATTATATTGAAGATTGGTTCACTAAGACTTTTGGCAAGTGGAGAAATTTAGTGATGTCTGTACTTACGTCCTTGGTGGCAGCAGTTACACTGCTGACCTTGTGTGGATGTGGCTGCATCCCCTACATTAGACATCTCTGTCTCAAGTGCATTACCACTGCCATTGATAGTAGGTATCCACAGCCCCCTGCCTATGAATTAGTACAAGCTCCGGCCCCTTGGGAATCATATCCCCTGATCTCCCTCACTGAGCCCGGTGAGAGAGAGATTGAAGAGCTCCATGGACCGGAGTGAAGACCGTGGATCCTACATAAATTAGCTAGAGGTTAATACATACTGACATATAAATGCATACACGTAGGTGGTGTGAACTCATAGGTGGTTGAATGATTTTGGATAATTGATTTTTGATAATTAAGTTTGGTAAGTATTAATGGAAATTGCTAATGGTAACTTAAATTCTTATTATTGAGTGGTGTTTATGATTATGGTAGGATGTAAGACAATCTTTGTTGTTTTCTGTGTATTAGTTACCCCCTAATGTTATGATTAACCGATAAAAGTTTGCTACACATGATGTTTATACTTTTCCACAATTATGTCTGTTCAAATGCTCTTAGTTGCATTGAATCAGCTTATTTGTCACCAAATACTCAGGTCCATTTTGCTTCTGGTGATCACAGTTTTGATGGGTGTGCATACTGAAAAATACAACAAGTCAGGATAAAAACAAAGGGCATGACTTCTACTAGGGACTGGTGCTCCTCTCTTTTCAAAATCATGTATTTGTCCCCTTCACTTTTATTATTTCATGTTGATCGTCTTATTATATTCTCACAGAACACCAGTCTTTTACTGTCATTAGTCCTACCACAATAGTTTAGAAGATGAAAGTGAATAAAAAATGTTGAGTATAGTCCTCTGAGTTACCTCCAGTTAGTACTCAAAGCAGCAGAGAGCTTGTGGTGTATTTCTTTTTACTAAGGGCTTTGCTGTGCCTCTGAGACTGCACACCGTCTGCCCAGTGTCACTGGTGAAGGTTGTTGAGGCTGTACTTGTGAGGTCACTGGGCTGACTCCTTTCCCTTTCCTTGGGATGGTGGAGCGAGTGATGAGGTGCAGGCTGCCAAGGAGTGGCACAGCTGAAGCTAATCAGTCCCATCTGTTCAGCCAGTATTTAGCCAAAGCTCTGCTGTGTCACCCTTGCCAGTCAGTTGCTCTTGCCACGGTCAGACAGCTAAAAGAGAAAGTACTTACCTGTGTTCTTCGTACCTGCCTGGTTTTTGCCCAACGATGCCATCTTACTGTGTGAGTTCCCTCCAGTCTTGTGTCTGCTACTCACCTGGGTTCCCTGGACCTGCCCAGGTCTGGAGAGCACACCAGGGGAATGGAGAGCTATGGAGTGCAGAGCTGAAGCTAGAATGAGAAACCAGCAGGGTACTAACGGAAAAAGGCTTATATGAAGAACCAAACCGGGGCGGTAATGAGTGGCAGGTGGAGGTCAGAAGTGACAGGAGAGACAGGGAATCCAGGGGAAAAAAACCAACGGAAAACCAGGAAGCAAAAGTCAAACCGTGACAACAAACAGGTAATGATCATATACCAAAACACATATTATATGAGAAGCTACTATACTGTATTTGTTGACCAATACAGTACATTATTAACAGCATGTTATATATGGAATTAACTACATTGTAGTGGTTTATAAAACATTTGTGAAATGTTAAATGCTAAACAGGGGGCCTTCAAGTCAAGTGTTCCTCCCAAAGGAAAAGCCTGGAGGCACCATTCAGAGCTGAAACGTGTTTTGGGGTTGAAGTCAGTTAATGCGGGACAGTTAAGCAAAATATTACTATAAAAAGAAAAAAGACTCACCATTGAACACCATTCGAAAATAAAATGGATAATAAAGCATAGTGCTTTTTGTAGTTAATGTTAACCTATATAATAGTTATATAATACTTGTATAATATCTTTTAACCAATGTTAATGGTTAGCGAACCACTAACCTCTGAAACCAAATCTACACACAGGAAGAACATAACGTCCGTTGTATAAAGTTGAACATACCTCCTTCCCAGGTTTGCCATCACGCCCAGGAGTTCCAGGGTTTCCATCTTCTCCCTGATAAGTACACAGAAATATTGAAATTTCAAGAACTAATTTAAGGTAAGGATTATTTAATGGCTCAGAAGGAAATAGTTTGGCCAGTTTTTATATCATCTCCTTGTAGTGTCATGTTTGTCATTTTAGTTAAGACGTGAGACAAGTTACTCCTAGATCAGTAGTATAGTGAGTTGTGCATCTGATGTGCTAAACATTTTGAAATTTACTATGAAGACTCAATGTTGCTACTTAACTGTTAATAAATTTCTATCATGTCATTTGATGGTGAACCAAACAGGTGCAACATACAGGAATAATTTCTGAATGTAAAGACTAGCAAAAAAAAACCCAAAACAAAACAAAAAAAACCATTATCTTACTAGCTCTAACATAGCATAGCATGGGGTTGCATAACCCATAAATGGTAGTTAGTGATATTTTAAATGTAGTTTTCTCCCCATCGTGACTAAAGCTAATGGAAAATACAGTGATATTATGGAGACAAGACCATGGTGACTTATAGCTAATTAGTGGTAGCAAGCTAAATATTTTAGCATCAGCTTGACAGCTACAATGTTTTAGCTGCTGTTACAAGTGTTTATACAGTGTCCCATCTGTGGTACACAGATAATCAACATTACCCCTACAGAGGTGGTTTTATTTGTCTTTCATGTTTTTGCATTTTTGGGGGGGCTTTTTGTTTTGTTTTGTTTTGTTTGTTCACAGCATAACTCAAAAAATAATCACTGGATTTAGATAAAATCTATATATATAGGCAGGGTGCATAGCCCATGGAACTATCAATTAGATGTTGGTACTGACCAAACAGGTGCATTTTGGTGCGGAACAAATGAAGGCAAACAAAAACATTCATCATTTCAAGGATCTTCACAACCCATCTGCAGTGTACTGAGGCACTGTGCTTAATCTGTGCTTCTTATTGTAAAGATCAACTTTCAGTTTCCTAATAACGGTGACTAATTTTGGTATGTCTGACATTTGGTGACAGTAATTAGAAACAATGGAGGTTAGTGCTAAGCGTGTCTATAGAAACTCTTCCCAGTTGCTGTCTGTGTGGCAGAGTGAGCTGCAGGGCTGAGAGGCTTCTTGCTTCGCTGTGGCTCCGTAAGACCTGTCTGTAATGAGCCACACTAATGGTCACAGTGCTGTGGCACAAACCTTTCCTGTGTGTGTGCTGCTGTGTGACAGACAAAGCAGCATGTGAAGGGATTCTCTTAGAGAAAGGGTGGGTAAAAATGGAAAGTGTCAGACATAACAGTTCAGGATATCAAACATTTAGTGTTGTTATTTGCTATTCCCTCATGTCCTGCAGTGAAAAACTCGGTATGGCTGTTGTATCTGGGACTATCATTTCAAATATACTTCACCAGTTTTATACCTCTATAGGTTACAGAAGTAAAGATGCCTTACTTTTCAAATCAAAAATGATGAAATTTACGGAGAATATTCTTCCAAATATGACAAATACTTATCAAGTGATCAACGTATGCTTCTGTTTTTTCATGATGTTGGTTGTATTATGTCATGGATGACACAAGTTTGCATTATGTTTGTATGGATGCCACTGCTGTTTTGGGTAGCAGCTCCAGCATCCAACGCCATCTGAAAAACTGCAGCCCTCATCAAGAGAGAGCAAAAACACTGTCACCTAACATATATAAAACTACAATGGGATAGAGCTTCTTCTTTTCCATACATAGTCAACTTCCCTAAATCATTTTAATTAAAAATGTTAAAGGGAAATTTTTAAAATGAATACTGCTGTCAGAAGAAGTGGACGTTTTCACTGCAGGCAAAAAAGTAAAGGAGAATACTGCTGGTTCTTGTCCTTCAAAATCTTTAGTTTTGTATTCTTTTTTTTATTCATGGCATTGCAAAAATCTTAAGATCAGCTGAACCTCATTGCACAGAATAAAGAAATAATACATACTGGTGCATTGTGGTTCTTAAATGCAAACATACAATTTGAAATACACAGAAAATAAAATGTAGCACACTGACCTTAGGTCCTGGAGGTCCAGGTTCTCCTGTGTGACCTTTAAAACCCTGAAGAGAAATGACAATACATCAGCCACAGCAAATTTCCTGTATACAACAAGCTTCCTCTATCAGATCTGTTTACTGGTGGATACTTACTGGGAGTCCGCTGAGTCCAGGGTTTCCTGGGAGTCCAGGTTCACCTTGCTTGCCCTGATATCACACCAGAAATAGTTACACGTTAGGCCGCTCCCTAATAGTCGAACTGTAGAGTCATTAGTCAAGAGACCTGACAGTTGAATGAGACTCTTCTAGCCAAGCCTTTGTTTTTATTTTTTGTCAGCCAGTGTGCATTACAATAGAATGTAGCCACAACCCCACTAGTTTGTCATCTTCTCATCCTCATTTCGGTGAGCCAAGCAGCAATTTGCTCAATGCTTCCCACTTCAACAGTAACACTGTCCAATACATGGATGTACATTAAAGTCAGCTCTATTTAGCAAATTGTAGAACGAGGAGAAAAGGACAACAATGCCCACTAGGACAAGCCACATAAAGGTGGGATTTGTACTTTATTAGAAGTGTTTTCCAACACTGTGTTCTTCTTGCACAAGAGAAAAGACTGTCGTGGCAATGTGGCTGGTTTTGCATAATGTTATCCAGTTTGTTTATCCATCTCTGTTAAAAGCAGCACGCAGCCATTTAAATGTTTTTGTGACATGCATCCATCCGAACGGGACTAGGAAGCTAACAAAATGTGTGGGGAAAACATTTCAATGAGTAATTATAAATAAGAGGAATCATTAGCAGCGCAAACTGGCACACATCAAACTCACATTAACAACATGCACTGGTTAACTGATGGGAGAAGTTTAACCTTGTTGGTGAACTAGGCTATAACCATGTCTCAGAAAAGAAAATTGCCTAGGTGCATTGTTACAACAGAAATACAAGTGTATTTCTGAGATTATATATCATAAATTTAAATAGGTCCAAGTTTAAATATTGCATCATATGCAGTTGTCTTTTAATGATTTTTAAATGCTCAGACAGCCCTAGTCCCATATATAATATTACATCTAACCACACTTTAATATTAAATTTAAGATGTATAATCTTTAGATCACTGACAAAGTACACATCTCCATCTACTCACAGGTTCTCCTGTTTCACCTGGCCGTCCATCTTTTCCAGTTTTTCCAGGCTGACCCTGCAGATCAATAAAAATGATTTAGTGTCAACAACTGTAGAGACCTACAACTGCATTTACAGACTGTTAACCCTTTATTGCAGAAATTCTGTGTATATTCAAGATGCTGTGCATCAGATCATTTTTCTTACTATCAAACCAGGAAGACCCGGTGGTCCCTGTATTCCTTGAAGTCCCTCTTTGCCCTGGTGAAAACAAACAACCACAAATAGGTCACTGTCGCCAAAGTTTAAAAAAATTAACGTCCTCTGTTACCACACAGGCTAACTGGCCTTACTACTAGAGGGAGGAGGTTTGTACAATAATGGCACATGGGTAATATGTTTTCTGATGGCAAAGTACAAGAAGTGTAGCCTGACCTTTTCTCCAGGGGACCCCGGGGGACCAACAGGACCGGGTTGTCCATCGTTACCCTGAAAAGGAAGGAGACATGTCGGTGGAGGTCAACAGAAATAGACAGCCCGACTGTGAGACCCAGACCCAAATGAACCTTGTTTACACAAAAGCTTAAATATTTTAGACCAATTTAAGCAAATACTGTAAATCTGAACAAAATAAAGACAGTTAGGCAAAACTGTAACTTACAGGTGTACCCATTAAACCAGAAGGACCTGGATGACCAGGGGGTCCTGGGTTACCCTGTTAATACAGACAATTATAAAATATATATAATTATGGTTGTGTGCTTGTAAACTGAGAAAGGAGAATAAGTGACATGAAAGTGTGAGACTTGTGAATCATAAACAACAAATATACTTTGTCTCCTTTGTCTCCAGGGCTTCCAGTAGGTCCTCGGTCACCTTTTATACCCTGAGGTGAAAAATTAAGACAGATTACATGAGACATCACATTTTGAGAGGAAGGCATTTACCTGAAAAGCTGTTTGTCAAAGGGAAATGCTCCAAATGTTATTTAGGAGCAATAGCTATACTGCTTTTGAAATATGATTCAGTAAAGTATATTAAGTGGTGTTTTAATAACTGTTCACCCTATAACCTGAACCTTGAGAGGTAAAAATAAAGTTGACAAAATCACCTAACAGTGTTTGGCCATTTGGGAGTAATAAGAATGCAGTAAATGTGCTAACATGCCTTTCCTCCTTCAGCTCCTGGGGGCCCTTGAGGTCCAGCTGGTCCTGGTGGGCCCTGTAATGACACAGCAGAGCATCAGTCTCTGTCCAGGCAGACAGAGCGGAGCACTGTTGCTGTGTCCTAATCATTCACTACTGCCCCCAGAGGAGGTGGAGCTAATGGTGCAGACAGAGCTTCTCCATCCATCACTCCAACTGTGATTGATGATGACAAAAATGCAGCTAGGACTTTATGCCTCACTTAGGGCTAATACACAGGGAGACACATACGTCATAGTACTCCTTTAAAAATGAACCAAGTTAGACCTGACTTTGTCTTAAAGAAGAGGTGAGGTTATGAACAGTAATGATGAAATAGCAATGAATTTGCCCTACTTGGTAACCATCTTGACCATTTTTCCCTGGAGGTCCCTGGTGTCCTTTTTCCCCTGGGATTCCTGAGAGACCAGGTTGTCCAGGTGGACCTGCAGGACAGTCTGAGCAAACATCCTAAAAGACGGCAGAGACATGTTTGTGACAACATGTTCGGTCTCAGGATCCAAAGTTTATATGTAAATACTCCTTACCTTCAGATTTAGGTCAGACAGGTCTGCTGCTTTTCCCTGAGAGACAGAAAATGAAAGGGTTAATCAATCAGGAAATTCAGGATTAGGGGTCTCTATTCAGTAGGCAATCCAGGATTAAATTCCAAAAATGTCCCCTATACTGTATGTTTCATATAGCTAAAACTTTATTACTTGAACCTTACACCTAAAATCCTGAGCATTAGTATGCTGCTACACATACTGTGTGTAACAGTGTGCACTCTTCTGATTTAAGGTGTTTTGCAGTATTTTAGAACCTGGCTGCAGGAACGTACTCCCATTCAGCCACAAGAGCCCTGGGCAGGTCTAACACTGATGCTGGGTGACAAGGCCTGTCTCACAGTGGGTTTCCTAATTCATCCCAGTGTTGAATAGGGTTAAGATCAGGTCTCAGTGTAGGCCAGTCAAGTTCTTAAATGCCAATGTGGGAAAAACCATTTTGTTACCGACCTGGTTTTGTACACAGGGCATTGTTATGTTGAAAGAGAAAAGAGGCAGAGAGAGGACAACTTTAATATTGTGCTTAATTTGAACTTACTAAATTACACTATAGTGCATGTATTGTCAATTTTACTGTATTTAACCAGGCAAGTCAAATAAGAAAATAATCTTATTTAAAATCAGTCAAAGAGGAAATAAGACCTTTGTTTGGCAATGAGGAAAATGGGGAAAAGAATACATTAACTTGATCACATAATTTGCTCTGTTCCAAGGACATTTTACTTTTCTTCTGCCAAAACCTAAAGAAGCACCAATTACTTTTTTGCCATAATGCCACAAGAATTGAAGCTGAATTTTGTAATTCAGCTTCTTGAAACTATGCTTGACGTAAAAGTTGATTCGATTAATGTGTTAGCAACTGTAGTCTATTTACACTTCCAGTAGGTACCAGCATTTATTTAGGTTCCTGTTTCTGGTGACCTGCCAAAAGAAAGTCCAATATTTGTTCCAGTTTTAGTTCTATTTTGGTCTTCACCAACTCCCAAGAAATATGCTTAGATGCTAAAGGATTCACTACAGTATGTTTGCAAGCTTGATGCCAACTTCATCTGTTCTCTGTGTGGCACTGGACAGGTAGCATAGGGTCAGTTTTAGAATTTTTATTTTGCTGAAGAACACAAGATAAGAGTGGTGAGAGTCAATCAAACTATTTGTAGGTCAGATAACTGAAGCAATTAGCCAAAAACACTATAAAACATCAGTTCCATAGACCTAAGGAAAACTGCAGAGTCAGATGAAAATGATCTGTGGATTAGTTACTAAACATGGCCCCTTTCACATTACATATACAGCCATTGTTTATATTCAAATACTGATAAGTACAGATTTAAGTTATTTTAATGGTAAGCTTAGTAAAGTATTTTTTTTGTGCATGATTAACCTGGACCTCCTATATATAAGCATGTGGAGAGGAAAATTAACACTTTGTGTATCACAGTACAGTCAGTACCGTTAACACAAGCAATCACACAGATAGCATTAGTTGTTCCCTGGCTTTGTCTGTACTTACAGGCTCTCCTGGTGACCCCTTTTCTCCTGGCCTTCCTGGTAAACCCTGCATTTACAGCACAGGAAAGACATTTTTGTCAATTATTAACTGATCATTAGACACACATTACCGTCTACCAAAACTTGCAGTACAAAAAAGTTAAGCTAACCAAGTTGGGGGAAAAAAGTCAAATAAATCCAGACTAGTGACAAAAGTCTTCAGACAAAAACTTTCTGCCTATTAATTCATTATTTAATTTATTCATCAGTGATTTTGCTCTCACATTGTGTCCAGCTGGGCCCTGAGGACCAGCAACTCCTGGTAGACCCCTCAAGCCCTGGAACCCAGATAAAGACATATTAGAGAAAAGCATTAATAAGCATAAACATATTCTGTTTTTTTCTTTAGAAACTATTTACCGCAGGTCCAGGTTCCCCATTATTTCCTGGGGGACCCTGTGAACAACAAACACAGTAAATTTAGCACTGTGTAAAAAAAATACACTACAAAAAGATAATGAAACACTGGCTGGCGCTGCGCATACCGGCGGTCCCACTTTGCCTTCTCCTGAAGGACCCCTGTTTCCTGGCATCCCTGGTTCTCCTGGTGAACCTGGTTGACCCTGAAAAAAAAACAAAGTTTTCTCCACCATCTTGCTTCTCAGGTAATGTCAGTTCAGCCATAATGTGTGGCAAAGAGTTTTGTTTGGCACAGAAAGTATCATGATAAGTGATGTTTGCTGATCCCAGAAATACCAAACAGTTTTCAACTTGTGATGAAAAGGAAATACAATCTGTGGTTGACATTTTGGTACTCAGAAGAGGAAACCTATTTGTGATGAGGGTGAGTGATTTGACATAATAAATCCAGCGAATGCCCCTGTCCAGTCTTTCCCATTCTGTGGCCTGGACATCAGGCTCTTCACATCAAAGAGTCATAATCAAAGCAACAGTCACAGAGCAGTGGACATAGAAATTGCTTTTGCTGCTTTCAACAAAAATGAATTGTTTTTCTCATCCGTGCCAGGAAAAAACAGTTTTTCACATCAACAGAAGAGCACCTGTGCATTAATAAAAAAAAACAAAAAACAAAACAAAAAAGAAACACCTCAGGCAACATACATACAAACATCTGTCTTGCTTTTTCTCTGGCTCTCTCACACACATACACACACCTTTGTTTTTAGCCTTTGTAGATTGACTTACATTAATTCCCTGAACACTCTACTTTCCTAACCTAACCCTGAGCTCACTCTAACCTTAAACCAAGTTGCCACCCTAAATTCAATGATTTACATATGGTCCCCACAAGCCAAGTCCCTACAATATGAGTGTGTAAGCAGGTTTAGGTCTCTGCAGTATCAGTAATACCAGGTGCGCGCACACACACTTCCTTGCAAACTCTGAAAATCACATTACCTTTAGCCCTGGGGGCCCTTGAATTCCCTGTGGTCCTGGTTCTCCCTGTAATATTGAAAAAACGACATCGGTCAAATCACTTGCTACTCAAGCACTGGAATTATGCTTCTTTTGAATAAATCATTTAGGGATTAGCATGTGTGAGAGCTGCTATTCTTCATCCTCATAATTTTAGTGAGTCCCCAGTGCAGCTGGCAGCTGTAAAAAAAACTGAAGTGCTGTGGGCCACATCTGTTTTGGTCCTGTGTTGCTTTAATGTGATATGTCTTAACAGTGTTGTTCCTGTTAGTTCCTGCCTCATCAGCAGGGCAGCCACATGTCTGGACTGAAAAATGATGAAGAGACATGTTGAGCTACAGCACCAAATGTGCCAACTCATGCCTGTTTTCTTCCCATTCAGCTGGTCGCATCGGGTTGTGGTTCAACATGTAAAAAAGATGTTTACAAGCAGAACACGTGGAAAACAAGAGACTGTTACTGAGGTTTCTTTTTGTATTTAGACTAGCTGAATGTGAGTGTTTCCTATATACTTATAATCATACACAACACTAGTTTCTAATAAATGTTTGATAAGCTGGCATGTCTTATCTCTAAACTAGATGAACTATGACAACTTGACGGCAACTCTCGGTAAGGGTTTCAGAGGAATTTGTGAAGATAAAGAAATGGTGTGATAGTAATTTACTATCTTTGAATTTGGAGAAAACTAAATATATGGTATTTGGGAACCGTAGACCACATAATGAACTTCAATTGAGAATTGGGGGTGCTAATATTGAACGAGTGTATGAAATCAAATTTTTGGGTGTCATGGTTGACGACAGATTATCCTGGAAATCTCATATCAGTTATGTTCAGCATAAAATAGCTAAAAATATATCGATATTGGCAAGGGTTAGATATATGCTGGACGTTAAAGCATTGCG